TTCTATAAAAAATGTTGATGCCAGCGTCGCACGCGATTTTCAACGTCGACGTCAGCGTCGCCAGCATAAAAATGATGTGGCAAATGTGGCAGTAGGCAATGTGTTGCCTTTGCTGGAGCAACTCCAGTCGCAGTTTATAAGCAATAGGCTGACCCCAAAAGAGAAAAAACAACTTCGGGGAAATAATTTGCCTTCTCAGGCTCACCCCAGTCCCTGCCACAGCCCACGCACTGCCAGCGTACAAAATGTATACGAGCTTCCTGCTTGTGGTTAGTGTCGCCAAAACCCTACGACACGAATAAAATAACACTCGACCAAAATCTAAATACTTACTCAGAGTGTTCTCTCTTTCTTTCTCATAGGATGATATGGAGCAATGGGTTACGGACACATTTTATTCGTATTTTCCCGGCTTTAACAATGAAAATCAGAAACGTCAAAATTATTTGCGTGAGCGTCAGCGCGAGAATCAGCAGAACTTTCTCAAGCACCAGGTAAGTGTCATGAACCATGAACCCTGAACCATATCGGCATTCGTTATGGCAATCAGTGTGAAATTTATAACCTGGTGAATAATTGCATTACTTTATTTGGCTGTAGATGCTGCATCCGCCGTTGGCAAAGCAACGACGTCACCTGAAGCCATCGCCGGTACCGGTAGAGGAGCAGCAGCAAACCGCGCGCTCCAGTCAATCAAGCACAAGCACATCCCATAGCAGAACGGATAAGACTGATCTAGAGTTAATTGTAAATAATAATCCCAATTATGTGCCCCCGAAAATACGGCCGGCCACTAATCGCCAGCAGCTGCTCCAGGATTTGGGACATGTAGAGCTCTCCAATATTGTTAGCGGTGATGGCATCAATGAGCGCAATATGCGCAGCGCTGAACTGGAAACGGCGCGCAAAAAGGACTATCAAAGGGACTTGATGCAACAGATCGAGGAGAAGCGTCGCTCCATAGAAATCCTACGCGAAAAAGAACGACGACAGGAGGAGATCCTGACCAGGTGAGTGTTGGCTAAAGGATTTATCTAGATGTGCCTAAAATATTTAAAATTTTCTTGTATAGGCGCCTGGAGGCACAGCTAAAGACCATACACTTAGAGGAGCAGTTGGAAAAACAGCGTCAACGCGCGGAAAAGGTAAGTGCAAATTCATAATATCCATTTAAAAATCATCAAAACACACACAACTAGTGTTAGGCATATTAATCTGTTTCATAATTTGATCGTTCATTTTTATATTCTCAAATTCATATCTAGTTACTTGTCTTTATCTCTTTCGCTAGTTTTGCTTTTGTACATTTGCTTTTTTAAGAGTTGTTCAACTTTTTTAATAATTGGGCAATTGTAAATTTTTCAATGACGGTAAAAATATATCTACATCTGCTACATGTGTTTTGGTTCTTAATTTTAATCTTTGTCTCTTTGTTATTATTTTTGGTTAATGTATATATACTTTAATATTACTGAAAACCCTACATTTTCCTCATGCTCCTTTCAATTTTCACGTAGTCCAATCCTAACATACCGTTTTTAATTTCAATAACTCATTTTCATTCTATTCATTCATACTTTATAATATTCTTATACTCTAATCCAAAGATCTAATCCAATTTATTTCAAAGCATTTCCACGTTTACTACTTTTCACATGTTTTTTAAAACCAATATCAAAGGCATTATTATCAATTAGCTCCCAATGCTCCGTTTCATTCTATGCTGTATCATTTGAGAGATTTATATTGTCCAGGTTCCAACTAGTTTCAGTTCCTTACATATAATTCTATTAAACATCCAAATCCGAGTCTAAGGCTCTCATTAGTTTCCCATGTTCCATTAATCACATTCCCTCAAAAGCTTTTTTCTTCCAATATTCCACTTATTTTTTTATTCCATTGTCACTTCCCCTTGAGCTTTAATGTCCAAAATCAGTTATTCCATATTATTCATTTTCATTTCCGCATTGATTCCAATTTTTACTCCCACATTTCTATCATTATTCAATTGGAAAACTAAATTCGGAAAACGTCTTTTGGTTTTTCTTTTTATTTTTTTTATTTCGCGCTTGATTTGGCCTTAATATCATTTTTTCTCAATGCTTTTGAAATGCCTAAGTGTGCAAGTGTGTGTGATATATACAAATGTGATATTTTTTAAATTAAAAAAAAAAAACGCTTATGAAACGCTTCAACAGGCACGCATCGAGACGGAACAGAATCGTTTGATGCGCGAGAAACTGCTGGCCAAGCTGGAGCAGGATGCGCAGCTGTTGCGCTCAAAGGAGCGCAATAATCTGGCTGCAGCAAAGGATGTAAAAGGCAGTAACAACAACAACAGCAACAACAATAACAACGACAATATCAGCAACGATAACAACAACACAAACACCAATAAGGTTTACAAATACTTCAGTAATTCGGCAAGGCATGAGTATCGACGTGGTAAGCCGTTGCCGGCCGGCGTGGAACTGGACTTCGAGCTGCCGCAAATGGCAAAAATTGAGCGCGAATGTTTCCATTTGTGCGAGAAGATCTGTCCGCTGTGCGATGAGCCGTTAAAGAGCTACGAGAGCTGCTGTCTACGCTGTCAGCGCAAATTGGCACTTAAAATGAAGCAGCAGAGCAGCGAGCAGACAGCTGCTGGAGAGGTAGAGTCAGATGCCGCGGATGCAGTGGATCACGATTGTCAGAATAGCTATGCGCTGGTCTGTCTCAAATGCGAGCGCCTGTATGCCTTGTGCAGCCAGTGTCTGGTCAAGAGCGATGTGTGCCGCGCCTGCCAGGGGGAGCGTAATGTCTGCATGAGCTGTCGTCGTAATCTGTGCTCCTTTTGCCTGGACGAGATTGCATGTGGGCGTGATGCCGAACGTACGCACATTAACGAGCAGCAGGATTGTGATCCGCAATCGGAGGATGCCTTTCGTGTTCTGGATGTTAATTATGCGATGCCAACTCCGGCGGCAGAAAACAATGCCTCAAATTTGTCTAATACCACGCCGCCACCATATTCTTTTTATATTGCGTCTAACTCGGTGCACCATGCGGATCATAAGGCCACGCCCGTTAAGCCAATGCTGCTAGATCAGCTGCCCACCGTCTCTGGCAGCGCTAACAATAGTTTCGAACTCGACAGTGCCGATGAGCAGGCCATGGAGCGTGTGCGTCGCCAAACAGATCAGCGGCTGTCACGTTATCTCAAGAATTATGGCGATTTAGCTGCCAAACAGCAACATATGCGCAGTAAAAGCGAATCTCGCCATCGTGGCACACAGACAACGCCCCAATCCTTGGGTCGTCGCGATGTGGTGCTGCATGAGGCGCTCACACAGAATCTATCCATGCCGCTGCTACGAGAAATGCCAAAAATGACGCGCAAGGAGACGGCCACAACGTTGGACGGAAATCGTCAGCAGAAAATGGATAATCTCAAGAAGCGCTGGGAGGTGTGTAGTACAAAGTGTAATTATGCGAATAACAAATAGATTAATCATTTCCAATCTTTGCCAGGTGCCCGCCGTGCAAAAGTTTACCTTGACCACTTCGTCACCCAAAATATTAACCCAAGTGGGCGCCATACGTAAACAGCTGCAGGCGGCGCGTTTCTTTGACGATGTCCAGGACGAACTCGACTAAGCGAAAGCTAACAGCAATTTTTCAACAACGTTCGAAAAATTGTCCGTTTAGTTTACATTCGGTTTGAATTACTTTAGTATTGACTATTTTTAATATTTCACGTTTCATTTTCACGTCTATTCCACGTTCTTTTATCATTTCAATTCGTACTCCACATTCGACGATCCAATCAAACTACCCCCTGAGATATATGTATATAATATGATATGAGACCATGTGCTTCTGCTGTTTTGCGCAGCAATTGAATTTATAATACATTTAAGCCATAAAATTTGTTAATGTTTTTACAAATATATATATAGACAATGATAATTTAACTAAAATAAATTATTCTATTGTGAATCGGCAAATCGGCTTGTTAAAGTTGACAATAAATGGATATTTTATAAAAAAAAAATTACCTAAATCTTAGTTTTAAAGTTTTTCAGAAATTCAGTTGCAGTAATTTATATTTTATTTAGAAACTAGGTAGAATTCTTCCATATTCCATAAATAATCTTATTGCATAGGAGTAAATTATATATATTACTTTCAACAATAAAATTTGAGAGTATTCGAATTTCGTTATGAAATTCGCTTTGCCTAATATGTGAATCCTATACAAATATTTCGCGATCAGATACTAATAACATATTATATAAGACATAGGTTAACGAGAAAGAAAGGCTATCTTCGGCACGCCGAAGATCTAATACCCTTGCAGACCCAACCTTTTCATAATGCTTATAGTGCTTTGCCCGTATCTAAGAAGCACAGGGACAATAGTTAATGCCGAGTTTGGGCAAGATATCTTGATAAACAAAATGTTTTTTCATACAACTTAATTTTCGACCGATCGTTCCTATGGCAGCTATATGATATAGTGGTCCGATCCAGCTGATTTTCACATATGTGCTGCGTGCAACAGAAAGAGGGACTTCTGCAAAATTTCGTTAAGATAGCTTTAAAACTGAGAGACTAGTTCGCATAGAAACAGACAGACAGACAGACGGACATGGCTCTATCGACTCGGCGGTTGATGCTGATCAAGAATATATATACTTTGTGGGGTCGGAGATGTCTCCTTCTATACGTTACACATTTCACGACAAAATTATAATACCATCTGCAAGGGTATAAAAATAAGATTTAGAATGATTTAAATAATATTTTTCATAAAAACTAACAAAACTACTTCGGTATATCCTTATATTTTAAACTATTTGAATTCAATGGTTTCATGGTATAAATACTGCAATTCTGATTTTGTATACAATCTGATTTTTGATTACTGAATGAATATTTTAAAATCAGCCCAAAAAACACATTGCCCAATTTCCAAAAACGTGTGTAAATTTCTGTTATCAAATCGTATTAATTTATTGTGTTGTTTTCATAAATGTCCGGATAAATGTTTTGTAATCCTCCCATTACTAATACATTGGGCGGGACGAAAAGACCGGCGCGTAGTGGGAGTAGGCACCGGCAGATCCATAGCTGGGCGCTGGGGCGCTGCACGGCACTGGGGCCAAGTTAGGCTGGCAGCTGAACAGGTAGTTCTTGGGGCACGGCGGTGCCGGTATAGAGACTGGTGCTGGCGCGGAGTAGGATGGTGCAGCAGGTGCGGCATAAGATGGTGCAGCCGGTGCCGAATAAGATGGTGCAGCAGGCGCAGCAGCAGGTTGGCCATAGCCACCACCACCATAAGCAGATCCCAGCATCTTCTCCTCCTTGTCGGCAACAACGGATGCGGCCAACAGGCAGGCAAGGGCGGCGAGCACAATGAATTTCATGTTGATTGTTGGCTGAACTTGGCTAAAAGCGAACTGCGATGTTGAGTGCAGCAACCAAGTGGGTTTATATAGAGCCCACGGGTGGTGTCAAAGAAATGCAGCGACAAGCATTGACCAAGTTTGAAGTCGCGCTGTTTTGAACAACTCAGCGTTTTTTTTCTTGTATAATGCCCGAAAAGCAACTATTCGCATTTTTTATATATGACTTATAAATTTTTTTCTATTTCCGCTAAATATTGTTGGTTATTTTTTAAAATCTGCATTACGAAATTTTTAAGAAAATATTTTCAGTTAAAGCTATGCTAAGCATTGTTTTTTTTTTTTGTTTTTTACTTAAAGTTACTAAAAGTTGATTGATTTTTGTTTGTAAAAATTGGGTTGAAACCCTAACGATGAACTCGCCGGATCTGCAGGTAGATTCCACGGAACTTTATCATAGCTCCCTTTAAGAATAATAATAATAATTAACTAAAATTAATTAATGTTTTGCACTTAAGTTCAAAACATGAGAACAAACATAATAATTAATAATAATTAATAAAAGTATAAGATCCGTAAAATAGTTTGTTAACTATTTATTTATACATTTATTTCCCATATTATATACCCTTTGATACCATCTCAGATAAGGCATACCCATTAAGTACATATGTATTATTGTTCCGCATAATCCCACGTGTTGTTTCTGTGTGTTTCTATGCTAATTGATGAGTTAAAGAAGTTCGCATAAAAAACTATTTCAGTGTTAAAAGAAACCTTAATGTACCCTAGTTATTATAAGCTTCATTATGCTCTTTAGCTATAAGAACAATAAACAGGATCTCATTACTATATTATATACAGATTTTGTATATAATTGGCTGAGAATTGATTTGTGTAAAAATACTGTAACATTAGGATGTTAATTGGTTTGGCTGTCTTCTATACCCTGCTTAAATAAAGCATCTTAAAAGGAAATTTGTTTGGGCTTGACAATGGTAATACGAAGATTAGATACTAAAATATTTTGTTAGCTGGCTCCAGGTTTAGACCTCAACAAATATAATAAAAACTGAAAATTAGCCAAAATCAGCTTTAGATATAAAGATATTAAGATAAAGCATTGGTAAGAGTTTGAATATTTGTCGCGCTTTTCTATAGTTTTTTTCAACGTTTTTTCGTGTAATATATAAAAGTCAGAATTTGTCACAGCTGAGGTTTCAAAATATTTACATTTTAGAAACAGCCAATATTACAGTAAAGGATAAATTTTATCATTCCAAAGAAGCGGACGCCATGATATCACAGCAACAAAATTGGCTAAGAATGTGGCAACATTCGGTGAGAATGAAGCGCAGTTGTTATTGTAAGGCTACGGATGAATCGAAGAGCAGAGGGAACACTCATTTTGCGACCAAGCTGCAGCAGGCTGAGTCAATTATTAAGCGTGCCAACAGTTTGTACGGGCCGGAGGAGCTGATGTTGTGCTTCAATGGCGGCAAGGACTGCACGGTACTGCTGGATGTGCTGACAAAGCATCGTGATGCTTTGAAGCCCCTGCGCGCCGTATGCTTCAAATCCTTTGATCCCTTCGAGGAGGTGGAGCAGTTCATAGACATATGCACGCAGCGTTATTCTATGGATCTGCGGCGCTATGATGGCGTACTGAAGCTGGCCATTGAGCAGGCGCTGGCCGAGCAGCCGCAGGTGCGTGCCGTCTTCCTGGGCTGCCGACGCAGCGATCCCGGCTGCGCAGAGCTGTCGGAGTTGACGCCCTGCGACAGAGATTGGCCGCCGCTGATGCGAATCTTTCCATTGCTGGAGTGGAGCTATCATGATATTTGGGATTATCTGCGTAGCCAACAGTTGCCCTATTGCAGTCTCTATGATCAGGGCTACACATCGCTCGGGGAACGAAGCAACACACGAACGAATCCCAGCCTGCTGGTCTATGATAAGCAATTGGGTAAGCTGATCTATCGGCCGGCCTATGAGCTAAGCAATGATAAACTGGAGCGTGCCAATCGCGAGGATTCGCAAATACTCCAATTGCAGCAGCACAATACCTAAATAAAATTACAAAATAGATCAACTCAAATTCAAGTTTTTCTATTTTTAATTTTTGCATATATGTATATATATATATATATATATTTTTTTCATTTGGTCAAAGTTTTCTTTTTTCAACTTGCGAATGCTTGCAATTGGAGCAGCAAGTGTTCAAAGAACTGGGTCACACACAAACATATGCACTCTCTTTCGCACACACACACACACGCACCACATTTTTTGTTTGACATTAGCGCTTATCAGAGCCCATATTATAATATATTTTTGTATAAGAGCTAGAATATTGAGTAGTATAAGAGAAATTCGTGTGGTGAGTATAGGTATCATAAGGTAAAAGCGCATTGAATTGATAGGGCAAAACTTAAAAAATATTTATCTAATTATGCGCCAACTTAAATAAAAGCATATTTAAAATAAAAATGCATCTAAAGTCGAAGTATTTTTAATGTCTTGAATAATATATGTTTAATACAAGATTTATTGATAAATAACTAATTCTTTGACTTGTGCAGCACCTGAATGTATATTGCATTAAGATTTAAATTTTAAATATTTATACATATATTGTGTGTTAACTTGAAGCTGATTAACTGCACTTGAGGTAAAGTTAGTTATACAAATAATTGGTTTACTTTGATTAAAGTGTGTTTCCTGCGAACTTCCTCTGCAGGTAATAAATGGAGATAATAATAAATCCTTAAAGATATATATATCGTGCATTGAGTAAACTTTTATTATATTTAAATTGTTTTATAATGCTGCAGCCTGTAGCGCTTTGAAATGCCAGCATTAATATAATTATTCAACGTTCTCATTTCAAACCCTTTATAAAGTAAACAAAATTCTTAACCATTGACGAATCACTGGCATTTTGGCTGTTGCCTGGCGCATTTCCTTGCAGCTCGCCTACTAGAAACAGCGGTCGATTCGGATCGGTTTTCAGATTTCTTACATCCAGATCGTTATCCAATTCAATTTCAATTTTATCTACATTGCGCTTGCTTTTGCCATCCTGATCGTTGTAGTCCTCGCTGGCCAGCAGCTGCCCATAGACCTTCAGCAGATTATGCTCTTCGGATTTTTCCAGGAAGTTGAGCAGCTCCTTGATGGTCTTGTCGTGCTTGTGTGCCTGCTGTGCATCGTACGGCGGCGATTTTCGTGTTGCAAACTGGGCACGATAGCCAGACTTCTGACCCGTTGGGGTAAGACTAACCCGATACCAGTGCTGATCCTCCGGGTCCTGACCCAGCAGTGCATATTCAAATTGTGGTGTGGGCGTGGTCGCTGTAACGCCCAGTCGATCAGTGGTGGGGACCAAGTTGTTGTAGCCACTTGAGTTGCTCAATTGTGGCTGCTTGTACCTGGATTAATAGAGAGTAGAATTTTTTTAAATTCTAGCCAAACATGCGAGAGAGCTCAAGTCGACAGTGCCCGACTATGAGATAGGCTACAGTCAGGCTAGAACATATATTTGTAATTTGTGCCTTTATACTTCTCCATTCTATTTGACTGAATTTCATTCTTTTTAAACTTTGTTGCTTTCTGTCTGATGAAAGTGACAAAGCTTAAAGATGAAGTCATATTTTGTGGCAACTGGGGAGCATTTAATGGGGATAATGTTTTTTAGTCTGTTCAGGTTGTAAAAGAACCTGACAAAAATGGCGTTAAATTTTCCAATGGTGGACGGATCAAAAATACATATAGGGGGCCTGCTTCTGCCTAAGATATACCGTCGCATTAATGAAATGTACCCTCTTATTTAACCATTTTGAATGGTGTATATGCATTTGTTTCTTTTGCACTTACCCCAGCTGATTGTAGCGTGGTACATCCACTGGCAGAGCTTGGCCCAGGGCCAACAATGTATTGATGATAATGCTCAGAGTCTGCTGCTTCCACATATTCCCAAGTTTTGCTGACTGTTGCACATTTGTGGCTAGCTCTTGGTTTTTATAGCCACATCATTAGAGTCGATTCTATTCGGTTTTGGATTGCAGCAGCTGGCTTCGAATTCGGCGTGCAAATCGACATGTAAGCAATGGAACTACTCAGATAACGCGCTGTCTTTTTTCTATAACATCAAATCATAATTTTGTCACGTTTGAATCACTTGGTTGGTTGAGTCGAGTTTAATTAGAAGCTTAATTATATAAAAAGTCAATCGAATCAAACTGCTTTTTTTACTAAAAGCAAACGTTCTTTCAATTTTCACTTTAGTATCCAAAAGAAAGATCGTCAACAATATTAAGAATTGTTTTTAAATGTGTTAATGTTTAACTAATTTAAAAAAAAAACTTAACCAATTGTCAAGCTGGAAGAAATGTTGATCATGAGCTTTTCTTTGTATTTGGACTTATTTATCAGAAAAGTGCCTACTTACTTAATTTTAATTTTTTTTTTCTCTTTAATTTAAAAGTTTTCTATGCACTTGACTAAATTATAAAGACTTAATAAATAATCCTTAAGAGTAATCTCTGTAAATATTATATTTATTTGCCACATTTTGCGCTCTACTTTCTTGACTTGAATTGTATTTTATTAGGCTAACAATTGTTTGCTTGAGGAAATGCCACTTACCAATAGGCACTTCCGGCCAACTGTGCACACTGAGTGGGCAGCATAACGAAAGCGAGTATACCTCTTATTGCTTTCTCTGTCATACGCATGCTCGACATGAATGACAGCGTTGCCAACGTGAATGTTGGAATTATTATCAGTGAAATTGGCGACCTTTCTAGTGGCCTGTAAGTGGGTGGCTGGGCGGTTGGGTTCAGTATAGGGAGTGGGGAGGGGGGCTGCTCACGGTAGGCTGTTAATCAACACAAAAATACTTTCACTTTAACTGTCCCGGACATTGTGCGCGTGCTCTCTCGCTCTCAGTCGCTTCTTGTCGCTCTCTCGCTTTGTCTCTTTGAGCAGCTGGTCGCCTGCTCAGCTGTTGTGGGCGACATTGCCATTTGCCTGTTGTGTGCAATCGTTTGGCAATTTGCGCGCGCACTGCCCAACACTACTGTACAACACTGACACACGCACTTGGCACACAACACACATACGCAACGTTGTCCGTGAAGCAGCAGCAGAAGCAGCAGCTGCAAAGCTCTGGCTCTACTGTGGCTGCGCCTCGACTGAGTTCGTTTGGCTTTTGGTTCGGGCCAAGTTTTTTGCAAATTCAGTAGACAATCTTTCCTCATTTCGTTAACACACACAGACACGCAGCACAACTAAACAAAAACTGGCTTCAAACTCCAAGCAGCAATAACTAATAGCATAACCAATAAATAAATCAAATTAATAAATAAACAAAAATTAAAAATTATTAATTAAATGGTAGTGCTTAATGAGCTTTGCTGTACATCTGTTCAACGGTCGTGTTTTTGATAAAAGCAAATAAATTAATCTAATTAATTCCAAAATTAAACAAAATATTTGTTCGCACACTAACAAAAAAAATATATATATATTTATATATATTTAATAATGTTTCCAGCCGTGCGCGACTCGTGCGTATCCTTCTTCTAGCTACGAAACTAAAGTACGTAAAAAAAATGTATCTCTTATCAGCCAGGTTATGCGTAGCACAGCAAATATGCTGATAAAAATGCTGCCAATTGTAGCGTAGAGCAAATTGCATGATTTAAGCCTATTTTGCCTTGTGCCGGACCCGACTGTGAAATACCTATGTTTCTATTAGGAATAGGCCTAAATTATTATATTTAACATTTAACCAGCAAACGCTTGTTTAGTTAGCAATTATAGTGTCCGACTTATGCTAGCCCACCTCATCGACAGTTCAATCCATAATAGCATTATAATTGATATGGTTTCTTCTCTTTAAGCATACGGCTTTCATGATGTTTCATTTGTTTGAGGTTTATTTTGATTGCTTACAGCTATAAAACAAATTTATTTACTTTTTATTTATGCATAACATTATTTAAAAAAAAAAAAGGTCGTAGTAAACAACTGTTATTTTAATCCTCAATAAATATTTGTTGTATAATTTTAACTTTTATATTTACACTTCTCAAATAATATAACCAATATTTGTTTTTTAAACAATTAGGGATCCCGAACAAGGAACTGTTTTATACCCTAATCCTTTTGAAACCTTAAAAAAACATTATTTTTATGTCGTACGCGTTAAGATTACGTTCCATTGGCATTGTAATGTTGCGTAGGTTTTCTTAACAATTTATACATTTTTGTTTTTAATTTAATTAAATGTTCAGCTCATGTTGAGAATAGAATTTACGTAGTCTGCGTGTTCAAGTAGCGTGTAAAGTAATTTACCCAACCAACAAAAGTTTCGTGTACGTTTAATTTTAAGCTGAAAATAAATAAACAATCGCAAAAGGCACGACCAAATTCCAAAAAGGCCTTCAAAAAAAGCCAAGTTAAGTTTCATTTTAGTTAGTTAGGCGTAATAAAAAAAAAAAGAGCGAAAGAGAAAAAAATAATGTAGAATAGAAACTTTACTTTCGCTTTTAGCTACCTTAGACTTTATGTACTTGGCTTGGTACTAGCTGTTGTTGTTACCTAGATTAGCCTAAGACGCATACATAATATCAAGTTGAAAGTGAGTGTGTGGAGGTATGTATGTCTTATATTCAGGTGTGTCTAATACGTTTGTGTGCGTGCGTTTGTGTGGGCGTGTGTGTGTGTCCAATCGTCCTTCAACAATTTTGCAATCGTTGAACTTCTGCAGCAAATATTTATTATAAAAAGAAATTCCTGTTTTGAATGTTACCCAGTTGGGTAAGTTAAGTTAAGTTCACATAATGCCTTTAGTTGTGTATAAAAGAAACCAGTTGATTTTGCACTTAGTTTTGGGGAACAGCCATATTCTTCAAATAATAAATATTTGGTATCTTTTTTCACATATAACTTGAATAGCGACCATTTTAATATTGATAAATATAATTAATTAAAATTAAAATAAAATAAATACTGCGGAGAGTTTTCCTAAAACACTTAAACTCTAGCTCGCATAAGTTTTGGAAAAAGTACTTTAAAGGCGAATATTCTTAAATGTATATATTTGTCCTCCATGGTGCCTTGAATAGATAGATATTTCGATTATTTGTCTTTTTAATGTTTGGGGCAAAATGTTCTTTTATCACAATTTACTTTGACAGTAATCTCCTGTGAATCCAATATATATTTTATCGTTTCGTAACGCATTTAAAGCGCATAACAAATTTTAGCATGTCCAATAAAATCTAGACATTACCAATAAATATAGTTATATATCAACTTTTGACGTAGCTGCTATTTTAATTTATTTTTCATTTTTTTACTACTCTTGGGTCATTTTGAGAGAATGTGTGCGGGTGACTATTGTCCTGTCTGTATGTGTGTATATGTGTGTATGTGTGAGAGCGGTTTTTCTATAAGGTGAGCAGCCGTAGCCATAAAAAAAGCGAACCTGCTTGCTTTGGAGTCGTAAATTGCTGCTCGTTCCTGCTGTTCTTGCTCGTGGTTGTAATGAATATAAAACTGACTTTTAACTGCCTGTATTTTGTATTGTATTTTAGTGTGTATACACACACACGCACACACTCAGACACAACTGTGTGCATTTCCTTAAAATAATTTCGACTTGGGCGACTTGGGCGACGCGAGCTTTAAATGATGCCTTAGCTTTTTTTCCTTTCTGTTTGCCAACCAGAAACTTGTTGAGGCTTTTGGCCAAGCAAGCAAAAAAAATATACAGAAATATTCCAGTTTTTGGCATGCCATAAACAAATGTATAATTTTTAAGCACATTGTTTTTTTGCTCCAATAAAAAAAAAAGCATTTCAACATTTCACTTGCATTTTCTTGCTCCAATTCCAGTTGGCAACATTGCTTTTCCACTTGGTCCTTTTTATTTTCTTCTGCTTTTGGTTCGAAAACTCACTCGCAAAGCAACCAGTGTTTCCTATGAGATAAGCAGTAGGGTGTGGAAAGGGTGGGGGTTGGGGGGGGGGGGGGGGTGAGCGGGCAGCTGCACGAGCTGTAGCCAGCCAAGCTCAACGACACACTCCTGGCTTCTTAGAACTTGGCCAGGCGGCACGTACGAAAGCAAGATGATAATTTTATTGAATACATACAAAACAGTCTCACATATATATTGCATATAGATGGAGTAGATGGGTTCAGGCGGAATATATGGACAGAGTGTGATAAGAGAATTAGGTGTTCGACTTCGACTATTGCAAGTCATCTTCCCTCCAAATCCTCCCACGTAAAATCTACAAAATTCTCAAGTAGATTTTAAAGTTGCCCATCTTTAACCTCCTTAATTTTTTTTTTTATTATTTAAGTATGTCACAATTGCATTTTTATTTTAGTTATTAAAATTCTAAAGTATAAGTGCTCTGTAATAAAAAGTGAAACGCATCGTGGCAATCCAATCCCATAAATTAGATACAGTCTTTAATCCCAAGAACTGAGTCATTTTTGCTACTTAATTATAATCATCGGCAACATCGTAATAATATCTTTAGTAGCTTTTGGTTAATAAAACAGGAATATTTTTAAACATATTTTTAAAAAAGATTCTTAGCTAGTGTAGTTTCTTGCCAAACTTTTCATTAGTCATTAGGGACACACGATATTAACGCTTATTCGACTATATCAAAGTTGTTCTTCAATAAGAATTCAATTGTATGGCCAAATAACTGGTCGAAGGTCAGTTTGCCAAGTCAGTGGCTTGTTGGATATTAGACTGACGTAGTGCTCGAGTTTGTTTGCGTTTGATAAGCAGTCTTTTTTTGTGAATATAAATGCTAAAACATGGCTATAAGGAGACACTTTAATGGGCCTGGTCAATGCCAAAGCCGTAGCCAAAGCCAAAGGCCAATGCGTATTTCTTTCAAAGTCGTCATCGCGTGGGCGGTTGGGTGGTTGACTATTTGAA